AAATTAGCAAATGATTGTCAAGTAGTGCAGGTAAGACTCTGAGTAGTAATGACTTCATTACATCCTGGTGCCCCCATATCTACAGTCAAGCTGTGAGATGTGATTGCTCTGTCTCCTCCATTCTCCTTAAGATAAGCAATAGGCAGTATCCATTGTATGAAAACCTGCATTGTTCACACATGCCTTTGTCCCGGATAACAGCTCCTGTTCATCACCACGATACATTGCACTCTAATTTTCTGCTTCTGTCTTTCTTTGCAGATATTCCTTTCTCCTCTCTGATTGCTTTTTCTTCTTAGGCCATTACTCTAGTTGATAGTGCCAAGTTATCATTGGATCCCATCTCCCTCTCCAACAAGCCAGTGATTGATACTAATCTTCCTCTTGGGACACATTTTATAGAATGCATGGTGGAAACCACTCTCTAAATCTTAGCTTTCTATGTGCTGACAATTTACAAGGTTGCAACTCACACACATCTCTGGAGGCTTAAGGAGAAATTTGAGAACCATGTAATCAGACATCCTAATAAGAATACAAATGCCTTTCATCCAGAGATGCTATCATGCCATTCAGTAGTTTGTGCTACACCCTGTCTGTAGGTTTTTTTGTTTTTGTTTTTTTTTTCCCAGCCAACAAATGCGCATCTAGATAAGTGCTATTTGGGACGTGGCCAGTTCCTAGAAGCCCAGCATGCATCGTTTCTCTCTTTTGCGGAGAGTGGTGGTTTAATTACCCTAATGAAATCTTTCACTTGCCATCAAGTCCATAAAAACAGAAAATTAGAAGTGGTTGCAAACACCTCACTGAAACAGAAGCTTTGCTTTATGATACACCTGAACCTTTCCCAGGAAAGCTGAGCTCTTAGGAAATTTATAAATACAAATGTTACCCTCTCAGGGTAATAGATAATTCCAGATGGAATTTTTTTTTCTAGACCAAAGAATATTTTGTGAAAAGTTTTGGTTTTTTTATGTGAAATGTGTGCCCTAAATGTGCTGGCCAAGGAAGCCGAGGCAATGCACTGTGTGCTTACAGTAGCAGTATTGGATTCAGCGTATTCTTGCAAGGAAGGCTTGAGTCCAGAAAAGACAGGCCTATGAGATTCAAAACTTTGAAGCAACCCAGTCTATATTTATGATTTGCTAGCTGCATAAAAGTCGAAGGAAGAAGCTTCTCTCTTCTATACTTCATATGGTTACACTGCAGGCCAGTAAAACTTGGAGTTACCTGATTCTGGTTTATTGTTTTAATGTACAGTTTCAGATCCAGTTATGTCTCCTGCAGAAAATAAATACACAAGAACTATTTCTAACAGCTGGATTTTGCCCTCCTCCTTCTACCTCTGAAATTTGGGTTCTCCTATGGGTTGGCCGTTTTGGGAGAGATAATACTTCAGAATCTGCCTTTGAGGGGGGTATCTGTAGGGGTGTTATAGATTGGAAACTGGTGATCAACTTAATGTCAGCTGAATTAAATCACCATGGTGCTGAGGGTAGATGTTTCAGCTGAGGAAAGTTGCCAGCATAGAGACGTAGAGGAGGAGGAGCAAGGCACTGAGGCATTGTGGGTTTCACTGTGTTGCTGTTTGAGCCATTGGTTCTCTTGGAGAAGCTCTGGTCCTCACGTCAAGCATTGCTTCCTGGCTCTGGAGGATGTGTACTGCTTAATCTCTAGGACAAACTCGCCATGCTGGCTTTCTAGCATGTACTCATCTGTGCTTATTGTCAGAGAAGCTCGGGGTCTCCATATCATTGAGGACGGCTGTGGTGTTTTTCACGACAGCCCTGGTCTTTTTTGAGTGTGACTTCTTGGCTCCAGCATAGAACCCTTAACCTACCAGCACGACTCCTTCACCCTGCTGGTATAGACTTCTAGGTTCCACCGCTGACTGTTGGGCCTTCCCAGCACAAATACATAAAAGAGACTAATGTGACTTTTTCTTGTGATTCTAGACCTCCAGTTGGACTTGTGGGAGGCATTGTCATGGGCTCTAGGTTTTCATTTGGACTCGTGCAGGACATTGCTGTGGGATTCAGGCCCTTGGTTGAATATTCTATGCCTTTGGTGTTGTGGATAGATTTCCTGCAGTTTCTTGTGTTAACTCTGGGTAACTATCATAAACTAATATTATAAATTCCATGTCCTGATTCTAATTGTTTTCTGCACAACCCCTGACTACAATACATTTTTTTGTTTTTGGGTTTTTTTTTTTCTTTTTTGGATAAGTATGTCTGGGTAAACTGAGTACTAGGAGTTGGTTTGTGTACTCTACTCTCAAGAGTTGTATGTTGAGGTTGTAGTTGTGATATCCTCAGATGGTGACTGTATTTGATAATAAGCCTAAGCAAATAATTAAGTCAAAATGAACTTTGTGGGGGGAGGCACTAATCTAGCATGACAGTTGTCCTCAGAAAAGGAGATTATGGTTCAGACACCATAGGAGTGATCACAGAAAGATGCAGCGAGTTTGCAGTTTGCCATCTGCAAACAGAAAGGTCTCAGAAGAAACCAACCTTGCCCACACCTGGATATTGAATGGCCAGTCTCCAGGAAAGCAGGAAAATAAATTCCTGTTCTTTAAGCCTGTATGTTGTTAGGACAGGAAGCGTGTGCCTGCCCATACACACCAGAAACTCGCTGTTTCTAGGTAGCTGAAAGTGCCTTGCATGGGTGACACTCCACCAGGGAACAGTAGCTCCATCAACTGTGCTGGAGCTAACATTGTGGCACTGCTTCACCCAACTTCAGAGTCCCTAGTGTCAGCCAAGTGACCCAATGAATGCCACTTTGAACCTTCCAGCCCGGCCCCCCAGAGTCAGGACAACTTGCGGGAGGTCTGTGATGTCAGAGCTCTCTACTATAGCAGAGCCCCTGAGTCACCCGAACTGTGGGATGACACAGTCGATGAGGAAGTTCCATACAGGCAGACTGGCAATCTGGGACAGTCTCAAAAATCATGGACAGAGGAGACCGGAACTGTGAGGGCTGTTCTTTCTCAGCAGCCCCTGCACTGTGTTCTCATGTGTCTGCACAGCAGCATGGTCAGTACCACAAGAGGCCAAACCTGGTAGCCAGGAGACTGAGCTTTGGAGAGGAGCTGGAGAGCATGGGCTCCTGAGCAAGTGGAACAGGTTTTCAGAGAGGCCAGAGGAGGAAGTTGTGGATGCCCTGGCTGATGTCCTGTGCTGTTGTTAAGAAAATCCACTAGCGTGAGCCTCTTACATTTGACCTTTAAAACTCAGACAGAGTTATAGGTAGTTGGAGAAAAGCTGACATGAGGAAAGGGGTCCCCGCTGGGAAACAAGTTCAATGCCAGCCCAGGTGACACATTGCAGTCTAGGCCCAAGACCACAGAGACAGGGCACCCTAGTTTATGTGGACCAGGGAGCTAGGGAGGTTTTCAGAAGCCAAGCCCCCAGCTTCTTCTGGCACCCCACTAGCAGACCCCAACAGCTCCCCTAGAAAGGGATTCCCCATAGCTCCATATACTTTGCTTTCATTTCATTGGTGATTCTGGATTTGCAAGATCAGTTAATTGCATCTGTCTTTGCTGCCATGCTACACAGTGGTGAAGGGAGCCCTGTATTTTAGTCTACTGCCCTGGTCCCTGGCAAGAATAGGCACTCAAGAACTATTTCTTCAATAAGTAAATGAACTGATTCATGTTGATAGCAACTTCCAAAGAGAGGCTCATCCCTGGTGGGGAGCACTGGGGTCGCATGGAGGGGCAAGAACAGAGGGATGATCCCCCAGGGGCTAAGCTGAGCAGCCTGTGCTCGCCCACCTTCAGGACCTCAGGGACCCCATGCAGACCAGAAGAGCATCGCATGACTGCGGAGCACCAAGTGCTCTGGAAGGCTGGAGATGTGCCCAAGAGCAGGGCTCTGGGGACTTACAGAAAGGACTTTGGCATGTGAGGTCCAGAAATGGCACAGGAGGAGACAAGACTTGCCTTGGATCAAGATATAGTGTAGGCAGGAGAAGGTGGCATGCACAGCTGCCAGGGCCTACAAGCCTTTCCAGGAGCAGACAGAGCTTTATTCCACAAGATTTTCTGCTAGGAAGCAGGATCACATGATGAAAAAGAATCTGGTTGGAATTTTAAGCTAAATTCTAGTCCTGACCCACACTGGTTGACCTTGGGCAAGTTCCTTCACCTCCCAGGGCTGCTCCTTCTCCCAGAGTTTCTAAGGTGGCTTATTTGAAGGGTGATGCTTGCCACCTTTGACCTATGCACTGCTGTTTTCATGGGAGAGTGCCCTGGGATGTGATTCGGCTGAGGCTCCTGGCTCTCAACCACGGGCAACTTCCTGCTCAGCCCCTGCGAGTGCCTGGAATCCACCTGAACCCCACTTCCGTTAATGTCCTCTCTCTCATCAGTCCTGCTGTCTCCATGTAAGGGCACAACATGGACTGCTGCCTTTAAAATTGCTTTCTAAAAGGCATGCAGGGCAGGCACAGTGAAGGCCAGATGCTGGTTGGCACCTTTTGCAATTCCTACCGTGAGTGACAAAACCTTGCTGGCAGGGGAGTGGAGCTCTTGATGCACAGCCGAGGCCTTGAGTCCATCTCTGTTCACAGCATTTCCCCAGGTCCGCTTGTGCACTCGATCTGGGTTCTTGCAAATGCCACGTGTCCTGGTGTCCATGCTCCCACTACACTCAGCTAGCAATGCTCAAAGAACTCAAAAGACCTGCAACAGGAAGTCACTTTTCAGAGTGTCCTAGCAAAGTTTTGTCTTGGGACCAGACATGGGACCTTTGCCCTCAGCAACCAAGAGCTGCCACATTACTACTTTGGTTTCAAGGGGTTCTCAGAGGGTCATCAAGATAAACTCCACTGAATCAGCAATGTGGTCTTTATATTGTCGCGCTGGTTTATGGGGTGAATATGGCTTATATAATAATAGCCGCTTCCACATGTGCTTTGGAAGTTGCAGCGCTACTGAAGAGCCTCTGTCATGCTCCTTAGAGGTCTACACTGGGGTGAAAGTTACAGCTGTGCTCAAAGGAATCCTGAGAATGAACAGAGACCCCGACCAGAAATGCTCTCCTGCTTCACAGTCCTGAAGGCTGAAATCCAGAAAAATCCCAGCTGAGTGCTTAAAACCCTGGATTTGCTTGTAGGAAATGGATCTGATTGGTCTCAGCCTTGCCACCTGAGCAACCCTCTCCCTAAAAGTCTCACTACTGCAGTCATCGGCTGGAATTTCCATCAAAGTCAATGCTCGGTAACAACTTTTACGAACCAAAGCAAATACCCAGCACTTCTGAGCAGTCAGGGCCCTAGTCCTGTCCACCCCACTCTACTCTGTGGACAGCTAGATGCTGGGAGTCACCCTGGATCTGAGCTCCACATCCTGCCTCATGAGGCTACCCTGGAAGGGGCTGCTGTCACCTCTCCTGGGGCTGGGGAGCTAGAGCTGATCACACAAGCCCATGCAGGCCTGACATAATAAAGGCTTCCTTAGCAAAGGCATCATAAATAAAGGGTGGGGCGGTGCATGCTTGGTTGCCAAGGCTCCCAGGCAAGTGGCTGCAGAAAGGTTCCGCTCCACAGGCCAGAGCGCCTGCACTTCACTGGCCAGGGTGGCTGTGTCTTAGTCATCCTGGTCTCCTCCTATCATGTTCCTGCGGCACCCCTGGGTGCCCGGACTCCTCCCCTGGCAGCAGTTGTGGTTATTGGTCCTGGTGACTCCGTTTCCAGAAAGGCACTGGATCCTGCCGACCACCGATCCCCCAGAGCCCACTGAGCCCTGGTCTTTGCCTGATGTCCTGCCGGAATTGCCCAGTGCCCTTACTGTCCAGCCAAGGTCGAAGGGCTTTGGTAACCTAGCATCCTCTGCTCCCTCCCAGGGCTTGGACCCACCTCTAGAATCCCCTGAGCAAACTGGACTTTCTCAGGTCCATTTGAAAACCCAAACTCGAAATCGAGAGACTGTAAAGGTCCGGCCCTCTTCACCAGACCAAGAAGCCAAAGATCAACTCTTGCAGCCCCCTGAGGAAGCCGAACCATCTCTAAGCCAGCAGGACACTAGCTCTCAGTATGATCTTGGTCCTGAAGAGGTCATAGGTCAACTGTTGCACCAGGAGGCAAATACTTCATCTCCAGGTATAAGTCAAACGCTTCATTCAGACATGCCGTTTGTCACAGTGAAACATGTGGACATGAAGGCTACCAAAAGGATAGGGAAGGAGCCACAACCTACTTCAAGGCACCACCAGGCCCCAGGCCAGGCCCTGGAGAGTCCTCAGGAGGTGGACCTTTCCTCAACCCAACAAGAGGACCCACCTCAGATTCCAGAGCTCTCTGAAGAGGTAGAAACCTCCCCAACCCAACAGGAGCCCCCAGCTCAGCCTCTAGGCCCTCCTGTGGAGGCTAAAGCTTCTGCCCCTAAGCACACACAGCCAGCTCAACGTTCTAAGTCTTCTAGGACTAAAGAACTTTCTGGAAGCCGGTTAAAAGCCCCGGCTCAGCCCTCAGAGTACAGTGGAGATCTGGAAACTTCTTCAACCCAGCAGGAGCAACCACCTAAGTTTCCAGAGCATCGTAAAGAAAGAATGTCAACTCCAGGTCATCCCCATGCTAAGCATCTGCATTTGCCCCGAGTGACTGGTAAACCCTCACATCTGCAACTCGCTATAACTCCAGAACCCACCAAAGAGGAAGGAATCTTTCCAAACCATCCCAAGGCTCTGACTCAACCCTCGGCTCCAGTGATTGACATGGAACCTTCTGTAAGTCAGCAAGAGGCCCTGGATCCATTTGGTGAGTCCTCAGAAGGGGATGAGCTCTCATCCCTTCAACAGGAGGCTCCAGCTCAGTCAGAGACTACCGTTGGCAGCTTGCGGACATCTGAGGCGGGCGAGCCCTCTTTGACCCCTGATCAGCCCCCAGAGATCTCTGATGAACTCTTAGCTCAGCCTCCAGAACCACAGGAGGTAACAGTTTCTCCTCTGGGTGATAATCAAGATCTATCACTTGATCACATTGCTAATTCAGCTGACCAGGAGACCTCAGGCCAGGCCTCAGTGTCTCCCGAGCAATTCGAATCTCTCAGAGACAATAAAGAGCTTATAACGCAGCAGCCAAATCCTGCCTCAAAGGATGAAAGCTCTCCATTTGATAGTGGGATCCTGACCCCACATGCAGAGCTCCCTGGGGGACATTCTCCAAGCCATCTCAAGAGCTCACCCCTATCCCTAGATGACTCTCCTGGTACAACAGCATCACCAATCCAGCAAGAGTTCTCAGATCACTATTCAAGATCCCACATGAAAGTGACGGTTTCCGTTTCAGTGACAGATAGAGTAACATTTTTAGGCCACCCTTCACAGCCAACTGAAGACACAGAACCATTTTTAGTCCCCCAGGAACATGCCACTGTCCCTTCACAGTCACCCGATGAGCTGGAAGCTCAGAACATGACCCCATTACAGCCTGAGGAGCTCTCTGAGGAGGAAGAACCATATCCTGCACAGCCACTAGAAATGGTTCCTACTGTAAAGCCTGCTGAAGAGGAGGAACTTTCTCCAACCCAGCCCCTGGCACCTTATGATCTTCCAAATGACTGGACACCTCACCCTCGCCACCATCATGAGAAGACAGTTCTCACACCAGTTCAGGGTCGAGCTCAACAGCCGGGCGTCACATTTCATTCTTCAGACCTAGGAATCACTTTTATTCCAGAAACTACTATGGAGGATGAACGTTCTACCATCCTGAAGAAGACGCTAAAGCACCACGTGGAGATGCTTCCACCTCCAACCCGGCTTCAGGCTCCATACCCAAAACTCCGTTTGCTCACAGTTCAACCTGTGCACCAGAAGTTTATCAAAACTTCACAAATTGGCACAAAAGTTAGACTCTCTTCAACTGTGCAGGAGAACCTGTCTCAGCCCCGAGAGGAGGCTGAGGAGACTGTCATTCAAACTCCTGTGTCTCGTAAGGTCAAAGTCATGACTCCAGGTGTGGAGCCAGCTCAGCATCCAACATCATCACCCAGGGTCACAGGCCAACCTTTGAACATGGCAGCCACAAATTCAGTATCTGTCATAGAGACTCAGTTTTCCATAGCTCAGCAAACAACTGCATCCCCTCCAGAGCACTCTGAGGCAACACCTGCACACCTGGAGCACACAGAGGCTCAACATCGAAGGCTGAATGAAGTCACCATCCTTCCTTTGGATGTGGAACTTAGCATCACTGAGTATTCTGTGAGTTACTCTCCAGGACAGACTTTCACTGGACAAGAGAAGCAGAGTGCCAATATATGTGAGCTCTGCACCTGTCAGGATGATACTCTGTCATGTACTGGCCTCAGCCCAAAGCAGAAGCTCAACCAAGTGCCTGTGCTAGTACCAAAAAAACCCTTCACCACCATAAATTTCCAAGGAAATGCTATTTTTTACCTTGCTGAGAATATTTGGACAACATACAGGTGGGTTGAGAAACTAAATCTCAGTGAAAATGACCTGACTGAGTTACATAAAAATTCTTTTAAAGGCCTGCTGTCCCTCCAGTATTTAGATTTATCCTGCAATAAAATACAGTTTATTGAAGCACGGACATTTGAACCACTACCCTTTTTGCAGTTTATAAACCTTCGTTGCAATTTACTCACACAACTGAGCTTTGGAACCTTTCGGGCATGGCACGGAATGCAGTTTTTACAAAAAATCATCCTCAGTCATAATCCTCTGGCAACTGTTGAAGATTCCTATCTTTATAAATTGCCAGCATTAAGATATTTAGACTTGGGGAAAACACACGCGCCACTTCCAGTGGTCGAGAACATCCTCATGATGACACTCAGACTGAAAATGCTGATCATACCAAGGCACATGGCCTGCTGCCTCTGCCAATTTAAAAGTGATATCGAAGTTGTCTGCAAAACAGTCAAGCTGCATTGTGATAATACCTGTGTGGCCAATGCTACAGAGTGTCTTCAGGAAGCCCCCGTAGGGAACACAGAGGGAGTATTCATGAAGGTGTTACAGGCCCGGAAGAAGAACGCCAAGACTGAGCTGGTGATCGAGCCTGCAGGGTCATCTTCAGAACAGAGTGACCTCAGCTGGTCAGACCTCATGAAGGAGACGTTTAACTCTAATGATGAAAGCGAAGTGATTGAAGCGCTCAATTACGTCTTACCGTATTTCTCAGAGGGGAATCTGGAAAATCTAGACTCATTATTGCCATTCATTCGACTGCTTTTTTCAAAAGTACAAAATGAAGCTAATCACCAGGGTGATCTGAACGACCAGAGCCCCTCTCATCAACAATCCGTGTCCACTGGCTCTGTTTACAGAAATAAGCTGAAGAAGCTACATTTTCTACAGAGTTGGTTAGATGCAGAAATTCAGGGAAAACTCCAGGAGGTCAGAAAGAAAGAAAAAACAGCCATGTTTATGCAGCCCAGCCCTTTAGGTTCCAAATTTCAAATCATTCCCAAGAAATTGGCAAGTGCCCAAGCACAGGAAAACAGCCTGGCAGAGAATCAGCACAGAAGGAGAAGCCTGCGGACTGTGAATCGGGTCCTCAAGGGCCCGAAAGGCACATGGAAAAGACTGCTCAAGGAAAAGCAGAAACAGAAAGTCAGGGAGAAGCAGAGTACCCAGAGTACAGATGAGCAGAACCTCAGCAGCCCCAGCCCAGGGCAGCCAGGGCAGAATGGGGAGGTGCTGAGGTCCAGGGAGTCAGCCCGGAGCCAATCCCACACAGAACAAAAGGCATCCGTGTCTTCCTCCCTGCAGAGTACTCTGCTGAGCAGTGGCAGATTATCCACCCCCACCTCTGCCAGTGCCCCGAGTGGGGAGAAAAACAGAGCAAAAGACCTCAGCAGCAGCATTTTGCTTTTAGAACACGCCAGTGATAGAGTTAAAAGCCTGAAAGCTGTGAAACCAAGCTTAGAATACAAAAAACGTCATCACTTTTCTAAAACTTACTCTCCCATGGCCCTAAAAGTGCCCCAGCCCAACCCCAGGGAGCAGCTCCTGAAGGAAAAGGCACGCCAGAGACTGAGGATTGCAGAGAGGCCTCTGTTCTGGGCCCTGAGGAGTCTCATCCACTCCCCACCACGAGGCCTCTCCTCCTCCTCTTCATCTTCTTCCTTGGAAGACCTGCGCCTTCAGGAGAATTCTTTCTCTGAATTACATGCTCCTGCCATATTCTCTGTAGAAAACACTGCTGCAGAAAACCAGTCCGCAGGAAATGCCTCCGAAGTAAGTGCTTTTACCACAAACGCGCCTGATTCTGCCACAGGTTCTCCCATAACTACACCCAGCCTAGCGCCCACCAACATGATTACACCGGGCCTGATGCCCACTGATGTGTCTCCACGTGGCCCAACATCCAACCCTGCACCTTCTCAAAGCCTAAAGTCCCTCAGTGACTACCCTCGCACTGACTTGCCCCTCAGAGACCTCTCTTTTCCCATGCTGCCTGGCGATCAGTTTGAAACCCAGCTAAACCAGCAGCTTCACATGCTCATTCCCAACAAGGAGGTGAGGAGGCTCATTTCCTACGTGATTCGCACTTTGAAAATGGACTGCTCCGAGCCCCATGTGCAGCTGGCCTGTGCCAAGCTCATCTCTAGGACAGGTCTCCTGCTGAAGCTGCTCGGTGAGCAGCAGGAAGAGAAGGTTTCCCAGGCCCAGTGGGACACGGAGCAGTGGAAGAGCGAGAACTACATCAATGAGAGCACAGGAGCAAGTGGTCAGAAGGGGCCTGGGCGATCAAATGAGTCCGTGCAGGATGTGCCTGGGCATGGCTACAACAACAAGCTCATCATTGCAATATCCATGACAGCAGTTGTGATGCTTCTAATCATCATTTTCTGTCTCATTGAGATTTGTTCCCACAGAGGCTCAGAGGAAGATGGAGAGTCCAGGGGCTTTTTCGGTCGGAGAAGGAAGAACTTAAAGGATAAGGACAGTGAGGAAAGCTTCTTCTGGAGACCGCTGTGGCTCAGGGACATGAACAGACCTCTCAGTGTCACCCGCCAGCAAAGCATGGCACAGAAGCTGCGCGACAAGGATTCCTCTGACGAGGATGCCGCAACCACCAAGGACACAGAGTCATCCATCGCTGACGCCTCCCCGTCCAAGGATTCCGAAGAGGCACCCGGGAAGGGCAAAAAGGGCAAGAAGGGCGAGAAGGGCGAGGACGAGCAGGGCGAGAAGGGCGAGAAAGGTGAGAAAGGCGAGAAGGGCAAGGGCAAGAAAGGCAGGAAGGACGACAAGAGCGAGCAGAGCTCGGAAGGCGAGGAAGGCGAGGTGGGCGCAAAGGCCGAGAAGGGTGAGAAGGGCAAGAAGGGCAAGAAGGGCAAGAAGGGCAAGAAGGGCGAGGAGGGCGAGCCGGGTGCGGAAGGCGAGAAGAGTGAGGAAGGCGAGAAGGGCGAGAAGGGCGACAAGAGCGAGCCGAGCTCCGAGGGCGAGCCGAGCTCGGAGGGCGAGCCGAGCTCGGAGGGCGAGAAGGGTGAGAAGGCTGAGAAGGGCAAGAAGGGCAAGAAGGGCAAGAAGGGCAAGAAGGGCAAGAAGGGCGAGAAGGGCGAGAAGGGCGAGCCAAGCTCCGAAGGCGAGAAGAGCGAGGAGGGGGAGAAGAGCGAGGAAGGCGGCGAGAAGGCCAAGAAGAAGGGCAAGAAGGGCAAGAAGGGCAAGAAGGGCTAGCAGAGCCCTTCCTGAGGCAGTGGCAACAACAGAGTGACCCCTGTGCTCCCACACTTGGCTGACCAGCAAATTTTATTTTGGCATTGCTTATGAAATAATTACTTTTCTCAGATTACAATATATTAAATTCAAAATAAAGTAAAAGGTGCACACGTGTGCACCCTGGGCATGCTGACTTGACACGGAGCTGGCACAAGTTTGTCGCAGGGGCCGGAATCCAGCCATGGCACCGGCTTGCGGCGATGTCACTGAAAGGGGTTCTGATGGCCAGGCTTAGTGACTCTCTGGGGGCACGTAGAGCTCTGGCTCCACGTGTGGCAGAGCAGTGTGACCCTACGAGGACAGCAGGTACCAACCGTGGGACATGTTTTACTTACTTATCCACTTACCCGTACAGCTCCCCTGTGTGTATGTGGGTAGACAGGTAGATGGACTGGTGTAGATACAAATGGAACCGTAGGAAGCATACTTTGTGTTTGTGCGCGCTGAGGTTCAATCCCAGTTCTTTCTGAACTACATCTTTAGCTCTTTTCAATTTTTTTCTATTTTGATACAGGATCTTGCTAATTCACTAAATTGCCCTACCTCAGTTCATACTTGCAATGCTCCTGCCTCAGCCTCCTAGAACACTGAGATTACAAGTGTGCACCACCACATCTAGCTGGACCATAACTCTTGGAGTTGGCCCTGACCCCATGGCTGTGTGCACCTAAACTTGATCACAAGCAAAGCAGACAGAGGTCCCAGCTCATGGGCCTGGTGTTTTGCTTGATCAGCCTTTCAAGAGCTCTTTGCCCCAGATGAGTGTTTCCCTAGGTGATGGAGGAGTCTGGGGGGTTGTGCTGATGGAAGAGGTCCTCCACCTCTGCTCTAGACAGAAAGCAGTGATGCAAATCACATTGAGGCAAGCTATAAGCACCCGTCCAGTGCTCATGGCCCCTTTCACTGTTCCACAATGTCATTAACTCCAAGAGATATATCCCCTGCCCCCGTCACTCACAATAAAGATCAGTGTCATCCTTTACACTGAATGTGGATTGAAACGTGTTCAGGTGCCTTTATTCTTGAATGCGAGGCTATGAACCAGACTCCAGAGGCTCCACTCCTCGGATCGAGGATGAGGGCTGCCTTGTCCATTGGCCTCTTCCAATTGCTCAGAGGCTGAGGTTGGGATGGAGTCATTACAGAGCATTTATTGCAGGTCAGATACTGTGCTACCATCCCCAAATCAGCTAGAACCTAGCAAGGAGTGTGGGCAAGAAAGCCACCACCATAATAGAGCTGCAGGGAGTCAGGTGATCAGGGGCAGGAAGCTCGACTGAGAGGTTGGCTGTGGGAATGGAGAGAAGTGAATGGGGCACCATCACTGAGGATGGAGAAGAATAGGGTGTGATGGAGGCAGGAGGGGCAGGGTGGGTGCCGTGTGACTGACTCTCGGGTTTAGGGTGTCGGTATCTGACCAGAGTTGGGGCCCTTGCTGCACAGCAGGAAGAGATGTGGATTTGAGGAGACTAGAGATGGGGTCAGCTTTACATGTGTACGTGGTGAGGTTGCCCTGCAGCTTCCAAGGGGGAAGCCCGTTAGCTAGTAGAATAGTTTAATCTCAGATAGCACTTAAAGAAAAGGGGAAATAAATCAGACACACAAGCTTAAATATTGCATGGGTTCCCTTACCTGAGAAACCCAAAATATAAACAAAGAGCAAAATAAAGCTTCATAGGAAATAAGGAGATTTTTCACCAAAGGAAAAGGAAGCAAGAGATGGAGGGAGAGAAGGAAATGAAAAATGCATGAAACTGCCTTCTGTGCATGGACTCCTTTTGTGTGATAGTGTGGGACACAGAGATTCCCAGGAAAGTGACACAGGAATGGTGGGGACTGGTGACAAGATGTGCTGTCTTTTTACCACTTTTATAGATGATAAAAATAAGAGCCAAGGAAGTTAAACTATTTCTCCAAGGTCACAAGTTGCTTAGTGAATGGATTAAAACTAAGAAATCTTTATTACAGGTGACTCTGTTGGGTAAGTGGCCTTTACGTAGGACCCACAGTGGCATGATGGCCCTGGAGCTGGAGTGGGGGCAGCTGGCAGTGTGTTCCAAGTGGAGACTCTGCCATGGAAAGGCCAGGTATATTTGGAGACATGAGTGGTGGTCCAGTTTGGGAATAAGAGTTCTTGAAATAGATCAGCTGTGAAGGTTAATTTGAGAAACACAGTTTTCTTCCTGTAGATCAGTGTGATCAGAACTGTATTCTAGGGGGAAAAATACCACCTGCAAATTAGCCTCTTAATGCAATAAATAGACAAATTGTCCAGAGTGTCTGGTATAATAATTACAGTTAAACTATTTGTTGTCACACATAAATGCTCCCAGAAGTATATATTAGCTCAAAAATAGGATAGTCTTTTCTTGTTTATGTGCTCAAAATGAGTGGGAGCTCCTGATATCTCTCACCAAAGCCATAACTCATTGACTCAGTCTTATCTTTGTCCAAATTCGCTCTACCACATAGATAAAGGCATCTGAAAAGGAAATTCTTGGCTGTTTAACTCTCCCAGTGATCTCTGTTCTGTTTCACTGGAAGGCACCTGGCTCTTCCTAGGGGAATGGGGACTGGAACTGTAGTCCCTGACTACATCAATTGGCTTACCTCTTGCTAAATATAATACCCAGTGCCCACAGTTTAAAGGAAGATAGGTTTATTTGACTTACAGTTCAGAGGGTTCAGTCCATGGTCAACAGATTCCAAGCTTGTAACATCATCATAAAAAGGCACAGTGAAGCAGAGTATCTTGAGGAGCAAGGGAACAAAGCCAGAGAGGAATAGGAAAGAGACCGTGCCTCCGTGACCCACCCAGATACACCCAGGAGCGTGCTTTACTCCTCTACTGGGCATTTCTCAAACCAGTGCAGTTGACAAAGCAGGATTAACAGTCCCAGACTAAGCAGCCACTTCTGTCTGACTCTGCATTTTCGTGGAAAGTTAGTCGTCTCTATCATGCCCGAATGAGGGGAAAAAGGGTTATTTTCCCTTCAGCAATAACTTTTCAAATAGTCTAGCACCTCATTTTGGAGCATGGTTAAAGAATGAGTTTTAAGGGCAAATGAAGCTTAAAATGTAGGCACAGTCCCTTTAAGCATAAGATCTTATTTGTCTAAATTATTTTGGAAGGTTCAGATTGATTTTATACTTCCCTACCCATGTGAGCAAAGCTTGACTTCTATTAAGCATTTCTTGATGGCTTAGAATGACTGTTACGGGTGTCATTTATTGTAACACAGTGTGTTGTGTACACCAAGCACGTGGGGTGCTGGGAATATTCACTCTTGCACTGAACACTTCCTGAATTACAGGCTGTTCTGCTAAGGTGCCTCTTTGACCTTTCCAAATCACAGGTTTTTGTAGTCACTGTCTTCTCGGTGCTTCTAATTTTTCTATATTCAGGATAATTTCTCCTGCCATTTGTATTACCCACTAGTCCCTTCTTCTTTAGGTTTTCTTTTACCTACTTTTAAGATTCTCCAGTCTTTCTTTCTGCTGAATCCTTCCACTCACTTTGCTTTGCACATTGTGTTGGAAAGAATGTATCCACGCTTGGGACTGGCCTTGTCTGAATGCCCACACAAGCCATGCCTCAGAAATGCTAGAGCCTTGAGAAGTTTATCTGCTCAGCCCGTTTCCCCAAATATAAACCAAAGTGGTAATACAGCTCTTTAAGATTTGCCTTAGGACTAAAACAGTAATGATATTAAACCTTTCTCTGTAAAAATTGGTAGTTTTGGTTTTGGGTTTTTATGGTGCTTGCTTGCTTTATTGAATGAAACCAGGGCCTTCGTACTGAGCTAGCTCCCTGACCCTTTTTTTATTTTTTATTTTTTATTTTGAAACAAGATCTTGCTAAATTATCCAGGCTAGATTCAAACATGCAGTCCTCCCTCAGACCTCCCAAAGTGCAGTCATTATTTTTATGTGAGAATTTATGGGATTTGGATTTTATTGGCACCATCAATACAAATAGAACCAAGCCATAGGACTCCAGAGAGCTAGAATCCAGGTACAGACAACGGAAGAGCTAAAATAAGGCAGATGCCTCCGTGGCATTGGGGAGCTGAAGCCAGGAAGCCAGACCTGAAGGTCTCCATGGAATTACAGATTTGTGACTGTGCTGAGCAGAATTTAAAGATAGCTTGAAAGTACATGGATGAAGCTAAAAGAAGAATAGCAAGGAAAGAAGAGAGGAAAAATCTTCCGTGTTTCTAAAAAAGGAAAGAAAGAAAAGGAAAAGAATAAAAGAAGTTTTCTAAACCTTAATGTCTCCCACTCCGCTTTGAGATAGGGTCTCACAGTATAGCGCAGGCTGGCCTTGAATGCACTGTACAGCCCAGGCCGCCCTGGAGCCCGCAGTGGTCTGTTTCAGGGTTATTTCTCTCTCTGTGATTTTGTTGTTAGTGTATAGGAATGCTATTGATTTTTGAGTACTGATTTTATATCAAGCTACATTGCTGAATTTATTATATCTAGGAGTCTTTCAATGGAGTTTTGGGTATCTTCTATGTAGAGTATCATGTCATCCACAAATAATGATAATTTAACTTCTTCTTTTCCTATCTTTACCCCTTTTATTTCTCTCTCTTGTATAATTTCTCTGGCTAGTATTTCCACTACTATATTAAATAGCAGTGATAAGGGACATCCTTGTCTTATGCATGATTTTAAAGTAAAGGCCTTCAGTTTTTGGCCATTTAGTATGATAGTAGCTGTTGTTTTGTCATAGATGGCCATTATTATATTGAGATAAAGACCATCTATTCCAATTTTCTGTAAGGTTCTTATCATAAATGAATGTTGGACCTTATCAAAAGCTTTTTCTGTATCTATAGAAATGATCCTGTCATTCTTACTTTTAGTTTTATTGATATGGTGGATTACATATGTTGAACCATCCCTGCATGCCTGGGATGAATCCCACTTGGTCATGATGTATACTCTTCTTGATGATTTGCTACATCCTATTTGCCAATATTTTATTGAGGATTTTTGCATCTGTGTTCATTAGGGAGATTGGCCTGTAATTCTCTTTTTTAGTTTGGTCTTTCTCGGGTTTTGGTACCAGAGTAATATTTGCTTCCAGGAATGACTTAGGCAGGATTACTTCCCTTTCAATTTCAATGAAGAGTTTGAGGAATGTCGGCATTAAGTCTTCTTTGTATTTCTTGTAGAACTCTGCAGTGAATCCATCTGGGCTTGGGCTCTTCTTTATAGGTAGGAACTTAGTTACATTTTAAATTTCATTAATAGAAATT